AACGGATCCACGGGGAACAGTGGTAGAGTGACCAACGTGTTGATGGTTACCACCACCATGAGGGTGATCGACGGGGTTCATAGCAACACCACGAGTCTTGGGCCAGCAGTTGCGCTTGACCTTGTACTTGTGATAAGCACGACCGGCCTTAAGCAAGGGCTTGTCGACACGACCACCACCGGCAATGATACCGACGACACCACGAGCGGCAGAAGGGACAACCTTCTTAGAACCAGAGGGCAACTTGACACGGGTCTTGCCAGTGTCAACGTCGTGGCCAACAATGATGACATAGTTACCAGAGGAACGACCCAAAGCACCACGGTCACCAGACTTTTCTTCGACGTTGGAGGCAATGGTACCTTCAGGCATCTCACCGACGGGCAAAACGTTACCAACGGTTAAAGCAGCGTTCTTACCACAGTAGATGAATTGACCAGTGTACATACCTTCAGTAGCAACGAAGGTCTCGACATCAGTACGGTAGTGGTAAGGGTTGCGGAAAGCAACTCTAGCCAAAGGAGCACCACGACCAGGGTCATGAATGATCTTTTGGACGACACCACGGATGTATCCGTGACGCTCAGCAAAGTCCAAAGTACGGAGCTGAGCGGCTCCCTTACGAAGGCGAGTGTGAGCTTGGAAAATTCCTCCGCTCTTTCTTTGTGCTCTAATAACACGACCCATTTCTGGTGTTTTGGTTGTTGGTGAATTCAGCCCTCCCTATACATTTCCAAGTGATTTTCTTGGTGTTGACTGTGACTGCTATTTTGGTGTAAATTTCAAATTGTTTACTGTATCCGAGTGCGGCAAATTGTAGTACGTTTACGAAGATATGCTCCTTAAAGTAGTATTATACTATAAGAAAGGGTATCATAATTGCGTTATGTCCAGTTGCTGGTTAGTTGTTTATGTCAATAAAAATTCAATGCAAAGTCATAATCGGAATGCAAGCTGCTCATTGTTTGTGAAAGTATTTTCTACTTTGCAGTGTAGTAGTACAAATTTAATAAGATTTCATTTCACTAACATTAGATTCATTCACCTTTATTTGTCTTCAATACAATGTATTATTAGATTCACAAGTTTCCATGAACCATTGTCTTCAGAAAAGGAACTAGTCAATCAATAACAATAAACAAAAAACCATCATTATAAAGAAGGAACTTTTATGCCAATATACAAAAAAAAAAAAGAACCGATAATCACACATAAGCCATCAATCTATGCATCCTGTGTTTTCTCTGAGGAGAACCTTTTTTTAGAGATTACACTCATCATGTCAAATGAATTGGGGAATACATATATAGGATAGGACCCCCGACGATTGGGATACTTAGCAGGGTCTCCAGCGTATCAAACTCTTAAACAAGTGTTGAATAAGGTGAGCGGTATCATTCCAGGAATTCATGTTCCATAATTGAAACCCATGGATTATTTTACATTAAATGGAGCCACCTAATGATCCAGGTAAGCCAGACGGGGGAAACATGGATGATTGATTGGGATTAGTGGGTTGCGAAGGAGGTTGCATTTGACCGTTGGAAGGCTGTGGAGGCATACTATGGAGCGATGAATGGGTGTGATTAGGACTTGTAGATACAACCGGATCTAAAAGGTTGTCGGATGGAGGAGGCTGCATAGGGCGATAAGCCATATGCTGGGCTTGCAAAGCGTTATGCGCTGTTTGAAAATCAGTAAGTACTGATCGGATTTTTACACTACAGGGACATCCCTGATGTGCGAGCAATTGACTTTTCAATCGGAAAGCTTCTTGTTGTAGCTGAGAAAGCATCATTTGTAGCCGTTTCGATTGTTCATAAGCAGCATTCGCTGTTTGCTCTAATTCTTTGATCCATTCCTTCTTTTTCTGTCGGAATTTCGAAGCTGCAATGCGGTTTCTTTCTAAAATTCTTCGACGCTTTTCTTCGTCAACTTCTCTTTTTTTTGCTGTCATGCTTGCAAAAAGGAATAACGACCAGACGAAACTAGTATTAAACTTCAGGGATCAAAAGGTAAGTCACTAAACCAATAAAATTATAGTTATGAATGCTCGTGTTGCCATAAGCTTCTAAAACTTTCAAAATCAACTCTATGCCAATGACAACAGCGTAAAGTTTTTTAACCTTTTACAAATACTATAAGTAGAGGAAGAGTAGAAATGTTAAACCACGAAATGACGATAAGACGTAGACGTTTACAAAACGCAAACAGAATCCTTTTGGATGATTTTTTTAACCAGGTAAGAAATGTATTTGTCCAATCACAAATACACGCTCAATGCAACCGATCCACGATGTTCTTATAACCGATATAAAAAAATCCAAGCCTGAAAATTACCAGGGAAGACGATGATGTGTAATGACGGTAAGAACACTTGTCGTCAACTCAAATCTTCACAAAGAGCCTAAAAATCAATTGTTTTTACTATTTACACGTAAAAATCTCATAAATATGTGGAATTTGTTGTAAAAACCCAAATTCAGCTGAAATTCGAGTCGCAGGGAAAAGAAGAAATTACTTGCCGCTGAGTAGAAGCACTTTACAGGTTGTGTAGGTTACGTCATATTAACGATATAGAATGAGTGTCCTGAATAGTTTAGCGAGACGTAATGCCACAGTAATAAACAAGAAGAATTCAAATGAAAGAAGAAAAATTCTTTTCTTTTCAGTTTCTTACTTTCCCTATTTTTCTTAATTTATAACTCTTTTCTAATGACCTGAGTAAGTTGCATAGGATTGCAAGGAGAAACATCCAATGTTAATAAAGACAATTAGAAAACATGTCTATAGGTTTCCAATAGAGGTGAGTAAGGTAAGAATGTGCATCCTTTTGAGAGCAATGATGAAATAGACAATGCGAATCATGAAAACCTCTTTGTATTTTTTCAATATCCTTGCGAACGTAAAGATATCATATCAACGGAAAGCTCTATGAATGTTTGGTGCCGCAGTGTCAGGATAGTTGGTTTGTCAACATTATAATCATTACAATGTATTGTGTATTAGAATATTGCTGAAATTTAGCAAACACCATAAAACAAAAGGATGAGATAGTACTGTTCAGGGATCTGGTTAATTCAATGGATCACAGTAAACGCGATCTTATAGACATATCAGTGTAATCTTCCGATCTTGTTTTGGCTTTAAACTAATAAAAATTTATTAAACGAATCAATTTCAATAAATAACCTTTAATTTTAAATATAATTACAATAGGATAAACATTGAGAGGCATTATGGAAGAATTACCATTATTCTACTGTGAACTTTAGAAAAGAGCTTAAAAACTCCAAACTTAAGTATGAAAAGGATATCGAAGAGAATATCCTTAACAAGATCTATCGTGTAGTTGATTCTTCTTGAATACATGAATATTAGATAACCCAGTTGAGTATAAGTATTAAGCGTCTGCAGCGACGACCTCAGAATCGCAAATGAATATCTCTCCATGTCCAAAAATAAATCCATTTACGACATCCTTTATTTACTGAAGTAAGGGCTTGAATCGATCGTTATAAAAAACTCTTTCAAAAGTTTCCAACACGTGAAAGAACGGCATTTAGTTCATCAGATTGAATACTGCTTATACGATGGTCTGCTTTAACTTTAATTTTCTCTAAACCATCTAATACATAGCCAATCCGCCAGAAGCTGAGATCACCTGCCCAGTGATCCATCGACTTCTATCTTCAGCAAGAAAAGCGACAACCTCAGCAATGTCCGAAGGTAATCCAATGCGATTTTCAAATGGAGTCATTTTTTCTGCGAACTGTCTGCCTCCACTTCCATATTCCTTCAGCAAATCGGTGTCAACAGCTCCTGGATTAATTTGATTTACGGTATGGCTATGAGGACCTAATTCGGCGGCCCAACATCTAGTAAAACCTTCAATAGCAGCCTTACTTGCACCATATATAGAGTTTTGAGGGACTCCCATTCTTCCACCAATACTTCCGATATTAATAATACTGCCCCTATCGCCGTGAGAAAGATTAGACACTACGGCTTCTGTCATAAAAAAGACACCACGAACATTCACATCAAAAATTTTTCTGTAATCTTCCATGGTATGACTTCCTAACGATATTCGGTCATTTGTGATTCCGGCATTATTAACAAGGATATGGATGGTGGAACCAAAAGCTTTAACTGTGGTATCAACAATATGTTTAGTACTTGAAATATCACGTAGATCTGCCTGAATTTTGATTGCATCTGCTGAAGTGCCAAAACCCTTAATTTTCTTCACCAATTGTTCTACCGCGTCAATGCTACTGTCGGAGGTAAAGGTGATGGCTACTTTGGCACCGCGACGCGCCAAGGTCTCAGCTATTCCTGCTCCAATGCCTCGTGAGGCTCCTGTAACGATTGCAACTTTGTTTTGAAGGGGAAGACTGTTCATTGTTATTCCTTAGAGTGTTTGGTTTAGATCGTAAAAAAGTTGGTCATTTCGTCGTTATATGGACAAAAAAGGCTGTATTAGTAAGCAACTATATGTTTATATCAGTTCATTCCACTATCGCTTTTGGCGTCATCGGATTAATACCTTTTAAGATATTGTCCATATAGATGTTTTGTTAATTATACATATAACAATACGCCATTGTAAGAAGATATTTTCGAATACTAACAAACGTCATAAGTCTAAAAGGATAATTATTACAATTAGTAAACAAAACAAAGCAAATACGTTTTAAACAAATCGAACAGCCTTCGCAACGGAAATCTTCCAGATAAAAGGAACTTTTCCTTACAAAGGAACAGATTACGTTAGCTTCCTTATAAGCTTTGAATCCACAGTCGACTTCTCCAGATTGGAAGATTCGACTGGTCTGGCTAAATGAGATAGATTGTCTTTCTGAAATACAAGTCGAAAAGATATTCTTAAGAAGCAAATTTCTTAGCACGCTCCTAAAGCTTTGCGGCAGTGTCGATGTAATTTTGCTGTTCACTGTAGTATTCGAAACCGAGAGATGGAGAGAGAGTTGTCCCACTTGTACAGTTTTTCGTTGAAGGGGACATTAGAAGGTTCGGAAATGACATCCTTCTTTTCGGGGAATTTCTCACGAAGAACTCTATTTATGTGATCGGTGAAGAAAGGACCTTGAGAAACGAACAAACGATCGCGGTTGCTGGTTCTTAAGTGCAAAAACGTAGGCATTGGCAACGTCACGAACATCGACTTGATTACTTTGCATAGAAGGTTGCATCTTAGTTAGAACATTAGGTTCCATACTGTTCATGGATGGATGGGAGGACCAAACACATAGGGAGGGCTGATGGTGCAAATATTGAAATGAGGTTGTTTTTCCTTAACCCATTCACGAGAATCCTTTTCAGACAGATCTTTAGAAGCAAGCTAAGCAATGTCACCGTCTTTGATATTTACAGCCTCCTCATAACTAACGGGATTCCAGTCCTTCTCATTATAGGTATAACCTGCATTGGGGTCTGCAGTAAAGTTAACGGTAGCAGCAGAGGTAGAAATGATGATCACACGCTTTACCTTTGGTTCAGTGGCGGCTGCCTCCAAGAAACTAAGGATACCGTTAACAGCAGGGTCCAAGATTTGAGTCTTGTAGTCAGCGACGTAAACGGAGACAGGAGAAGCAAATTGACAGACATAGTCACAGTCCTTGATGACATCCTTAAGGGCGTATGATTCACTAATGTCCTTGACGATGACAAATTCGATTTTGTCTTTTAGTTCTGGGTTCAAACGAACAAATTCATCAGCTTTCTCCATTAAACGAACCGTACCACGCACACGGTATCCATTTTTTAGTAAAGAAACAGTAACAAGGGCTCCAATGAAGCCAGTAACACCCATGACTTAAACAAGACTTTGGTTCGGCATTCTCTCAAATTTTGTCATTAAATACGAGCAACCTAGTGCAGAAAACAATTTAATATAAAACAAATAATAATTATAAATTAAACAATTAAAAGGGTCAACGAGCTTCGTAGCTTGAATTAGTTTCGTTCAAGCCAAATATACAAATGATGATTTCACCGATTCTCTAGTTAACTGAACCGACGGAGTTGTTTTTAATTATTTAATTTAACCCAAATTAGGATACACAAGCCTTCCTAAAAACTTTGCTGTGTCATTTTCCATTTGGACCAAATACTTCTTTTGGTTTTCAGAGAACACCCAATAGTATCTATGAAGCTGTATTATATTTATTATTATTATAAAGCGTATGTTTACCAATGATGAAAGGCTAATGGATTTTCATTGAACTTGAATTTATATGTAGTCAGATATTCACAAAAAAAAAAAGAAAAAAAAATTGTAACTTCAGGATATGCTATCGAGTTTACCGTTTTCGTATTCCATTCTCAATTTTTTCTTGCTTTTAAATTTTATTCTCATGCAGTATGTCATACATTCATATATGTTGTAAGCTTTTATACAAGCTTGATGCTTTGTTTTCAAAGGAAAATATAAACCATAAACCTGTAGAACGTCGCCAAATTATACTTAAAAAAACGAAGGACATAATTTTCGATCACTTTCCCTTTAGAATCGTTCTAGCAGAAACCAGAGGCGACAAAAAGATTGGTATTTGTAAACGCATCTACTGAATTAACTGAAAATACTCTTGAAGATAATAAAAACTCAACATAAAGTGATAATGAAAGTAGATGGAAATAGAAAGAACCTGATATACTTATGAGTAGAATATAAGACAGTTGAAGTGGACTTTTAAGTTCGAAATCATGAAAAACGTACTATGTAAATTCAAATCTTTTGTTTTTTATTTTCGCTTTCTATATCATAAAGATTTCCCTAGTTTTCTTGGTTTCGAATGTATTATTTACCAGTGTTTGTTAAAATAAACTAGCTTTTCAACTAGCAATAATGTTCTTAGAGAGGATCCGTGACCTGGTAACTCAACTAATATGATATAGCACGGTCATATGGAAAACACATTTACTATAAAAGAGTTGAAAGTTTATTTTATTTCTATGATAATCTATGCATTTCTTACGAGCTTATATCTGTACACGGATTCCATTATAATGAGCATATGATTGTTTTTATGAATTCTTTCTTACAATAGTATTTACCAAAACTCAATGATGAGGCAGAATCGAAAGTGAAATGATCCTATGGCTTAATATTTGTATTTTTATCCATAAATATATCAAAAAGACGACACTTCTACAATATATCTTTGTCATTCCTTCATCGACAATCTCAAAGCTCATTTTCTTCACATCATATTTTCTTTAGCATGTTGGTTATGTTTCGTAGTAACAAAACTGACCATAAGCTAGTCCTCAGAATGAAGAATATGAATTTCAACATTGCCTAAATGATTAATGCACAAGTAAATAAGTAAAAAATAAATCATGATTTATAGATACAGTTTGTCGACAGTTTAAACACCACACTCCTCCAGATTTCAGTCCCAATGTATACGGCATTTACAAACGATTTTTATCCTTTCTAATTTCTTTTGCATTTGTAGAAAACACAACTACACATTACACTGTTTATGCGTCTTATCAACGGTTTATTATATTCCCAAACTTCGTTGGAATTCACAATCGCTTATATAAGCACTAGACAATTAGTTCAAAAGCTTTTCTCTTTTTTATTTCTACGACCTCATTGACTTTAGTTTTTTTTGCCAAGTTTTCCCTATTTCAAGTATTTTTTGTTAATTGATTTGTCATGGATATTCAATTGAAAAATCCTAATATCATTCCTCTCTGGAAATGCGCGAATGCAAAGGCTTGTTGTATGGCTATTGATGGCTCCACAGTCATTCATGATAAACCTGGTTTGCTCTCTCGCCTAAGGGAGATCCTTAATTATGAAATTGAAAAGGGAGACACGTATCCTATAGAAAGCCCTTTGAGCCTGGAAGAAGCTGAGGAATACTTCTTTAAATATTGCACAGTCATTTGCTTAGAATGGGACGGCCATAGTCCACTTCCTAACCTACAAACGTCTACAATAGATTGGAAAAGAATGATCCTCGGGTTTTTTATCATAAAACCAAACTATCCTTCTCGCTGTAGTCACGTATGTAATGGCGGATTTTTAGTAGCTCCCGAGACTCGTGGTCGGGGTATAGGGAGAGTACTTGCATATGCGTTCTTGTACTTTGCGCCTCGCATGGGCTACAAGTCTAGTGTCTTCAATCTCGTATTCGCAACCAATGTAGCCAGTTATAAGTTGTGGGACAGCCTTGGTTTCACTCGCGTAGGAGTAGTTCGTAATGCTGCTCGTTTAAAAGGATATCCCAAGCTTGTTGACGCATATATCTATCAATATGAATTTCCTCCCTTGAACGAAGAAGCTGAAACAGGAGCTACATCCTAATTCAAATCTATTCGATTCATTATTTTGGATTATAGAGATGTTTATGTCTTTTTTTATTAGATTTACATATAATATAGTATTATCATTAACCTTCCTTCATGAACTAAAAAGCGAAAACCTGAATACCTTTTTCCATTTTTCTTTCTGTATCCTCCTACCAAGCATCAAAATTTCCAAATCCCGTTCGTGTTTTCTTCTTCTTCGGTTGAGGAAAGACATCCAAAGAGGCTCCATTAGACGAGCGTTTCGTGTCATTACTTAGATACTTACCAACAGGTGAGGTTGTGGAAGCATTGGAGGATGAATGCATCAGGTTTCTTCCTGACCATGAAATATAATCTGCCTCGGATTTGCTTGGCTCCAACAACTCCCTCTCCTTTTTTAACTTCTCTTGCTCTTCCTTTTCCCATTCCTCAAATGGATCTACGAATACAACAATATCCTCTAGCCGAATAGGCACTTTAGGATGATCATAATCATTTGTTGGAATTTTTTCTAACGCATCAAGCACTGCCATTCCTCCAACAATATGTCCAAAAACAGTATGCTTATTATCTAAGTGTTTGGCAGGATTGAACAGAAGAAAGCTAAAGTGTTAGCATGAAAAGAACAAAGGAAAAGCTAAACGTACAATTGACTGCCATTGGTGTTTTTCCCTCGATTAGCCATCGAAAGGATTCCGCGCTGATCATGATGCAAAGGATTACCAAATTCATCCTGAAATGGCTTTCCCCAGCAACTTTCACCTCCTTTTCCGGTTCCTGTGGGATCACCACCCTGTATCATGAACCTTGGGATGCTTCTATGGAAAATGGTATCGCGGTAATAGCCTTTCTTAGACAACTGGATAAAATTGTAAACTGCACGCGGAGCATAATCGGTATGGAGTTCCAAATTGATTTCCCCAAAATTTGTTATCATTCTAGCGTAGCCTTTGTGTTTAATGCGAACATGTTTAAGCATGTAATCTTCCTGAGGGATAATTGCTCTTTCATTTTTTGTAACCGGAGAAAACGAAGTTGATGTAAGGGACGCTGAAGCAAGACCCGTCGTATGTGCGGCACGGTAAACAGGAAGTCCTGAAGGTGCTGTTTCTATGCGACTAGGTTGCACGGAGGAAGTTGACTTGGAAGATGGAGATATTGTTTCTTTTCTTGACTTTTCAACTGCAAGACGTGCTTTCTGGATTTTTTCTTCTCTAGATATTTCCTTTTGTGTTTGTAGCGCAGAAAAATCCCGCTTCTCAACGTTATGGGGATCTTGGATTGTAATAATATCCGAACGAGTGAATGGTTTTTCATCGACTAGATCATTCCAATTTTTCGCTTTTATATTCAATCCTTCCAGAGTGTCCCAAGAAAAGCAATTGCCCGTTGTCTTGATGGCTACAATGTGTGAAAATTGGGTAAATCCCTTCAAAGTTACTGGATCACAATACTCTCCCGCCGCATTTTTGGAAAAATTCAGTTTTACAAGATCGGACAAGGTTGCTTTCTCACCATTCACTGGATTTGTCTTGTGTTTCCGAAGCCACGGAACAATGAATCTGCGATGCAATTAGAATGTGTACAAGGATTTGAAGTACTTACTTGAAATCAAAAATGATAGCTTGATTGGTGGAATCCACCAAACAACAAGGGTGCGTGAATGGCTGTAACGAAATAGAACAGTAGTTAAAAGGAAGCTGACGAAACGTTCCTTTAGGCTGCTGGCCTGTGATCCCACTCATGCCGCCGTGCCATCCATGGACACCAGAATGCTCTGTCTGAGTCACATACAATTTATCGGTGTTTTTCCCCATTCTCGTTCCGAATCACGTTCTTCCAGGTAAAACAAATAATATTGTTAAAAATAAATAAAAAATACCTGAATAGGTCTTAAAATAATCGTCCCAAAGTAAACTGTGCGCGTGGACTAAAAGTAAGGGTAAGGAAGAAGCCAAAGTTCTGACACTGGTAGTTATTATTGTACTTGGCTTCAGCGTATACTTGGGAAAACAAGTGAAATACAAATATTAATGGCCACCCCAACAGACCAAGGACGAGGATTAGCAAATGAATCTTCTGCTGTAAAAGAAACGAATGTTGGTGCAGCTGGAGCAGAAACGAACACTAAAACAACAAACACTGCCGCAGAACCAAAAGCGTCAGGAAAAGACTTAAAAGCTTTGAAAAAGGCTCAAAAACAGGCTTCTAGAAAAGCAAGAGCAGATCAACAAAACGGTGATGGAGGAAAAGGAAAGTCCGCGGAGGAGAAAAAACAAGAGCATGTTTCGAAGGGAGGAAGCCAGCCTAAGAAGTCTTCAAAACAAAATGCCAAAGGCTCCTCTCCAGCCAAAAAAGAAGATCCCGCTGTTTTGGAACAAAATTTTTTTGAAGAAAAACAAGTTTCGATTTTCTCACATCTGGACTGGCGACGCCGTAGGACAACGGAGAACATGCCCAAGGACATCCATCCTGCAGTCATTCGTTTAGGATTAAAATTAGCAAACTACAAGGTCTTTGGCTCTAACCAAAGATGCATTGAGCTGCTTAAAACTTTTAAACAGGTCATCCGAGATTACCAAACTCCATATGGAACGACTTTGAGCCGACACTTGACGACTCACATCAATTCGCAAATAGCTTATTTGGTCTCTACTCGTCCCCTTAGTATCAGCATGGGTAGTGCCATTAGATTTCTTAAACTGGAAATTTCTGTGTTAGATATTGATTTGACGGAAGAAGAAGGCAAAGAAGTATTATTAGAAAAGATTGATAACTTTATTCGTGATCGTATCGTTATTGCTGGTAAAGCCATCGTTCAAGCTGCAGCCGAAAAGATCCAGGATGGAGATGTTATTTTGACTTATTTGCACTCATCTACGGTAAACGATGTCTTAGTGTACGCAAAAAATATTGGAAAACAATTTCGTGTAATCGTAGTTGATTCTCGTCCCGAGTTTGAAGGCAGAACCTGCTTAAAGCTGTTATCAAGCCATGGAATTCCTTGTACCTATGTAATGATTTCAGCTTTAGCATATACCATGCAGGAAGTAACAAAGATCTTTTTGGGCGGTCATGCCATGCTCTCCAACGGAGCTCTTTATTCCCGTGCGGGTACTTCTTTAATTGCCTTGCTTGGCAAGGAAGCAAACGTTCCTGTCATCGCTTGTTGTGAATCTTATAAATTTTCTGAACGCATTCAATTAGATTCTTTAGTTTACAATGAGCTTGCTCCTGGCGATCAACTCATCAATACTTCAGTCGATGAGAACCAAGAAAGGCTAAGCGAACTTTCTGACTGGCATTCCGTCAAGAATTTGAAACTTCTTAGTCTCAAGTACGATGTAACCCCCCCTCGTTTAATCACTGTTTGTGTCTGTGAAATGGGTCTCCTACCCTCAACATCTGTTCCGGCAATCATTAATGAGTTTAAACAAGTTTATGCTTAAAAAAAAAAGAAAAAAACAACCGAGATATTTTTATTACTTTCCTATGAAAAGTGAAAAGGTATGGATTGTCTTTCAAGTAATCATTGCAACTCGAAAGAGTTTCGTTTTGAAACGGTTTACGCTGTACTTTGGCATTTAGTAAAGAACTCATCGTGCATGAAGTCTTTCATTATAATTATGTTGGTAATATTTAGGAAATTTTTTGGATCTTATATGGATGACTCGAACGAAAAAACTATATGGGTCTTCCAAAGTTACACTTCTTATGGATTCAGTTTAGAAGTAATATTTTTATAAGCGCAAGCTATGCAAGATGGCTTCGTTGATGGAAAGTACACAGTTAATTTTTGTTTGGCTAGGTTTCTATATGTAAATTAGATATGATTTTGAGGTATTTGGAACTGTTGGTTTCCATTTGGTAAACTTGTATATAAACCGTATGAATTTTGTTTTATACTCATTAGTAGCGAATTTCATTCATCCAGAATGCTCTAAAGATATCGGATGGCGACAGTACTCAGGGACCTATAATATTCTGTTCAATTACAGACGATGAACACATTGCCAGTTCATTGAACTGAGAGATGTCGTTGAAATATTTGAAAAGCATTAAGAGCTTTCATTTTGAAGTTCAGCAAAAAAGGTTTTTAAGCGTCTGTTTAAAACCTATTAAACAGTTGGTGCGATTTGAAGGACCTGACACTCAAAAGTTTCTTCAAGGACTCACGACACAAAATGTTACTTTAAAGAAACCGTTTTATACAGGATTTTTGAATACAAGCGTACGTTAACGCCTAGTAGCTACCTGAGAACTAATAAAAAACAGGGACGTGTTTTATTTGATGCGTTTTGCTATCCTGAAAGCCTTACAAATACAGAAGTTAGCACGCCTAATCAAAAACTATTAATTGAAGTAGAAAAGTTTAGAATTGAGGAATTCTTGAAACATGTGAAAAAGTACAAACTTCGATATAAATGCAATGTTACAGCTGTTGATCCCGAGGAGCTGAGCGTACAAGTGGGATGGGAACAAGACGCAGAGAAGGTCATGAGCGATAAACATAGTTACCCATCTATGTGGGATCCACGATTCCAAGGGCCTATGCTGAGTCGAAGAGTTGTTTCGTCGTATGCATGTTCATCGGATGTAGCCTTGGAAGAGTATATGGCATTCCGATATCGACATGGAATTGCTGAAGGCTCCATGGAAATAGCTCCTGGATCTGCTTTTCCTATGGAAAGCAATTTGGATTGGATGAAGGGCATCGATTTTTATAAAGGATGTTATCTAGGTCAAGAACTTACTGTACGAACTTATCATACAGGAGTTACACGAAAGCGAATTCTTCCTTTTATGATAGAAGAAAGCAGCAGAATCGCCGATATTCAGACGTCCTCCAAGCTAGGCCTTAGAGCTTCTTCTGCTGGTCGGGTGAGCAGTCGATCACCTGGAAAGGTCTTGGCTACACAAGGTATATATGGACTTGCAATGGTAAGACTGGAATATTTAAATCAACCACTTATGTGTAATGGGGTTCCTATTCGAATCATGAATGAAATATGGAATGAACAATTACAACCTTCGGACACGAAAACTGAAAATTAAGAACCCTGAACCCTTTATTCCTAGAGTAACCTTAGTGTTTCTCTTTTCTTTCTTACGTCTTACAAATCAACGAATCCATCAAATGAATCTTGATACAAATTGTTCACTAATCTCAAAATTACTCGGGCAACGGATGAACGAAATTGTGGAGCCTCTCTTATTTACGATCGATCTCTTTTAAAGCTCCTGTACATCTTTTTTTGAAACAAAGTCATCTGAAAATATTATCTTTTGCTGTATGTGTAAATGATAACCAGCAACTAGATGAATAACCAAACTACAGTGAACTGGAAAAATTCAAACTAATTTGAACTCAATTATAATATAAACATTAATTAAGATCGTATCAATCTACTGCTACAAAACATTTCTTTCGTTTATTTTCATACTTTTTCTATTTTTACACGCTGGATTTCGTAAGAGCTCGTAAAACTTTATAATTCGCTACTAGGAACACCCGAGTTAACTTATCCTTTACAATTCCCTTACCGCCGTAATTAAGAAAACGCCATTTCGCTCTCATTCTTCTAATTTTGGGAGTAAAACAAAGGCCTTTCTACTTACAAAAGGTCGTTTCCTGTTGCACCTAAAGGAAGTTGATGATTAGAAGATATTCCCGTAACAATCGGTTCCTTTGATAACGGGGTTCGTTTTTGCGTGCAAACTTTTGGAGCGTTCTGTTTTAACTCTTTCTCTCTTTTATTGCGACGAAATTTGTCTATTTAAGTTATTATCTATTGACGAGTTTCGGTTTTTCTTCACACATTTTCTACTTTATCTTGAAACCCGTATAGACAGAAGTCTATTTCTTCAGTTTAGTAAAGGCTGTTTTTTGCGTTCTTATTTATACACTGATACTCAATTTCAGAGATAATGGTTCAGGTTGAAGCTCCATTATCTAAATCATTTGGACAAGAAGCCTACATATCCAAGGACGCTGCAGCTGAAACAGAACCAAAGAAAATGAAGCAACCTGATGTAAATGGCGAGTTTGTTGCTGCAGAAAAATTAAACAAACAACTCATTGATACAGAATTTGCTCCCATTACGGATCCCACTCATCGACGGGTGTCTAAAAATACCGCTGCTGGACAATTATTTCAATTCGAGGATGAACCTTCTTACTACTTTGTAGTTACAACCTATATCTCATATTTGGTTCTTATTATCATCGGTCATGTTCGAGACTTTTTTGGAAAGCGATTCCATAAAGATGATTATAAGTATTTAAAGGATAGTGATGGTTATGCACCCCTTTATAATCACTTTGATAACTTCTATGTTCGACGATTGAAGTTTCGTATCAACGACTGCTTTAGTCGACCTACTATGGGTGTTCCTGGTCGTATGATTAAACTCATGAATCGCTATTCTACTGATCATAATAATACCTTTAAACTTACAGGAGACACTTCGATGAGTTTAAACGTGTCCTCTTACAATTATCTAGGATTTGCCCAAAGTCATGGACCTTGTGCTGAGGCTGTTGAAAAGGCTATTCGTAATTATGGACTTTCTACTTGTAGTGCCAGTACGACTTGCGGTAATTATGGAATTCATTTAGAGGTTGAAGATTTGACTGCCAAGTTTGTTGGAAAACCCGCTGCCGTGATTTTCTCTCAGGGTTTCGGAACCAATGCTACCGTCTTTTCCGCTCTTATGGGACCTGGCTCTCTTATTATTTCAGATGAGTTGAACCATACTTCCATTCGTTTTGGTTCTCGTCAGTCAGGTGCTAATATTCGTGTATTCAAGCATAATGATATAGCTGATTTAGAGCGCGTTTTGCGTGAGGTTATTTCCCAAGGTCAGCCACGTACTCACCGCCCTTATACAAAAATCTTAGTTGTCATCGAGGGTTTGTATTCCATGGAAGGTAATTTCGCTGATTTGCCTCATATTATGGAGCTGAAGAAGCGCTACAAGTTTTATCTGTTCATTGATGAAGCTCATTCCATTGGCGCAATTGGTCCTCGTGGTGGTGGTATATGTGATTATTTTGGAATTCCCACTACTGATGTCGATATTTTGATGGGTACTTTCACCAAGTCTTTCGGTGCTGCTGGTGGTTACGTCGCATCTTCTACGGATATCGTGAATAAGCTTCGGGTGACCAACCCAGGCTACGTTTATGCAGAGTCCATGAGTCCAGCCGTTTTGGCTCAAATTAAGAGCAGTTTTCTGGAGATTATGGATGAATCTCCTAGCTCAATTGGTCTAGAAAGGATTGAGCGTTTGGCGTTTAATAGTCGTTACATTCGCTTGGGCTTGAAGCGTTTGGGTTTTATTATTTACGGAAACGACGACAGTCCAGTTGTCCCTTTACTTTTGTACAATCCTGGTAAAATCAACGCATTTTCGCACGAAATGTTGAGACGGGGAATTTCCGTCGTAGTAGTCGGTTATCCGGCATGCCCGTTATTGACTTCAAGAGTAAGGTTTTGCTTTTCTGCTTCGCACAATAAAGCCGATTTGGATTATATCTTGAGAGCATGTGATGAAATTGGAGAAAAGCTTCAGCTGAAACTATCATCTGGAGCTGCCGGTGAAGATGTCGGTAAAACCAATATTGAAAATATCAAGAAGAAACAAGGCTGGTTTTCTCCTCCTCGTTGGGCGGTTGAAGACATTATATCTCGTGGTGTTGAAGATACATTGAAGCAATGATGAGACCTGAAATTGTCTGTTTTACTATGAGAAAAAATATTTATATACACGTGAGAAGACGGATGTATTCAATGCAGCCATATGTAGAAACATATACATATCTAGTGATAATAGTATTCCAATAATAACAAGAAGATATCAAACGAAGACATGTTGAATGAGTTGGTCAATAATACATAAGAAGTAAGAGAAAGCAAGTAAAGGCAAGTGAAGGCAAAAATGTTTATTTAAGATAATACATTACGTTTTCTAATGAATGAAGGCTTTATCGATTCATAAAAAAAAAAACTAGAATAAACTAGAAAAAGTAACAGATATAAGAAAAATGGTCATCATAGTCTATCCAAAGAAACCAAAGAAGAGGAAGGGAAGAGCAGCAAGAAAGGCAGAGATGTTTTAGGCAGAAGGGACACGTACGACAAGGACGACACCATCTCCACGTAAAAACATTTTACTTATAAAGCGGTCTTTGTTGACAGCTTTACCCTTTTTTCCAGAAGCATTTCGTTTACGCTCGGTCCACATCTATATCGGTTAGTAACAAAAGCCAGGTGGTACGAAGCAAAATGCTATTACCTCTTTGACGTTTTCTAAAACAAGATTGGAATGACGATCAAAAGCCTTTACTCTGGCTAGAAGCTTTTTATTGTTGCGACAGTTGATTAAGACCTGGTCATGGTTTTTGACAGCTATGAGCGTGTTAGGATGAAAGGAAACTAAAGAAGAGCTTAAAAGACAGACTATAGAAGCATACCCTGTTGTAAAACGCTCAAAGGCCCAGCGGTGAACTCGTATTCCTCAAGGCGAGCGAGTTCTAATTCAGTGAGCTCACTTCGAGGTCGATTGACTAGATCTCTACACAATTAGTAAATAAATAAAACAATAAACACGTACGCCATTCGAGAAGAAAGGAAAAAAGAAAGGTAAAGAAGATTTCGGATTTGGCTGGTAATTTGGTGTAGAATTTTTAGCAAGTAACATGGGTGACAAGCTACAAAGTAAACACTTAAAGTGGAAAATATGTCCCAAGAAAAAAGAAATAAATAAATAAACAAAAAGTTGGAAGAAACGTTTAAGAATGGACGGTACGAAGATGAAAATGTTTATTTGAAAAATTCTTTTTTAGATAATGGATAGGAAGCACTGACAACGCCATGAATGATTTATTTACGGTATGCTCAACTCTTTTCTGGACACAACTTCATTCCTTAGAAACGAACCTATCCTATTCATCCTTTTTGGTTGTCCAAAGAGAATAAAAAATTGCTTTTATTTTTTAGAATGAATTGACGGAATGTTTGTAGCAATTTGTTTATTATGGTGGAGATTGTTCTCTTGAAAAATTGGTTTTTGTGAACAATCATTATGGCTGACAAAAGTTTTCTAAAAATCCGTATAAAATGCTTTTTATGGTAAGCATATCAACAATAGTCAGTATGTCCGAGTGGTTAAGGAGTTAGACTTGAATACACCATTCGAGCTATCTAATGCGCACTGCGCTCGCAGGTTCAAATCCTGCTGCTGACGAATGTGCGCGGTAGGAGAGTGGAACTCCGACGGGCTCATAACCCGTAGGTCCCAGGATCGAAACCTGGCCGCGCAATTCTTTTTTTTTTATTTTTATTTTTATTACTTCGAAAAGTTCGTCGTGGATTTAAATTTCTAGACTTAAAAGCAACTCAAAAAAACACAGACGTGAGTAATGGAACCTTACTGAATTCCTTACTAAACGACTACAGACCAAAAGTGAAAGAACATGAAAACGTGGGTTTATAAATTTCATCCTTATATTCCTATAATTGAGTTGTATCTGTAGATAGATAGATGTTGTGAGGCTTTCCATTCTGTAGTTACAACCGTCCCTTTGGACATCGAACCTTGCTTCACTCAAACCAAAAAGCTTTTACTATTCAAACTACCTCTTACACACAACTACAATCCAACATTCATCTCGTGAAAAGTACAAACTATTTGATAAATATATTTTTATTAACCATAAATATAGTATTAGTACACAAAGACGTGAACATGCAAAAAAAAAAGCAAGGCATGGTTTCCCATCTTGAATATAAAAAAAGAAAAGGTTTCTATTGCAACGAACACGAAGCAAGAGAAAAAGAACAATGAATAAAAATTAAAACACAAACAAATCAAAGATGAAACCATCGAAACAAGAAACCCTACATGTTCGTTGGGTTTCTCTCAAAAAAAGAGAGTTTTATGGACATCAATCACATCACAAAATTAATTATACGAAAAACCAACAACTTCTTAAGTAGTACGACGAGTGGTAGGATGAACAAACACTTCAGGATCAGCTACCAACTTTTTAGTAATACTGAAGGTAGCAAAGCCACAAGCGGCGAGAACAGCAGCCCCCAAAGGCATTAATTCCATGGGGATTTTACGGAAGTTTGGCATACGCAAAGCCATGATAATGAGTTCCAACGAAGAAAAGAAAAATTCAAATAAAACACAAAAGGATTAGGAGACTGAGCAAGAGAGACAATAACCGTCTATTACCCAGAAAGAATAGAAAAAGAAAAATGTAAATTCAAGGAAATGAACTGAATCGAATTTACAGATAAAGCTCCGAAAGAAAGAGGAAATTTGTAAAGGTTGGTAAAGAGTAGAGAGGAAACGAGGAGCTCATGCAGATTTATATATTAAAAAAAGAGATCATGTCCCACCTAAAGGCGGAAACGAAATTCCAAACGAAAAACCAAAGGACCAATGGAAATATGGATGTTGGTATTGATTGGTATAGACAGTGTTTCAAGGTACAAACCGAAATACGTAAGTGCAGCGATTGGAAGTAACGAACAAATAATAAGGGGAGGAGGAAGGATTTGCCAATGACGTTGAAGAACCTTTTATCAATACCGGATACCTTCATTTAATGGTGTGGAGGAGGCCAATGAACTGGCTTAATATTGTTGTATCGTCCAATCAGAAAGGAGGATATACCGAAAACGCGGATTGAAAATGAGAGAAAAATACAAAAGAAAAAGGAAATAGTTTTTTTCTTTTTGTAAGCTTTCTTTCTCTATAATAAAATACAATGTTTGTTTCTACAGCCGATTTCCAAGGGCTCGTTTCTCCACATTCTTCGACCTAACCTTATCTCTCCACACATGACGTAGATGCTTGGCAATATAATCATATTGGTAGATAACATTTGAGGATATGCTCTTACAGAGGTACAAGTGGGTTCAAGTACAAGAACATGAAAAAGAGAAAGCAACGACTGGAAAGCTTTTTTCGCGGTAAGAAGTTATAAGATCCATTTGAAAGTGGCTAAAAACAACCAGCTTTTCATGGAAATTGGTTTTGGTTTTGGTTTCTTTCTCTTCCTCTTTCTGTTTCGCTTTTGTTTGTTTTTGTTTGGCTTTAGGTTTCTTTTCACCCGAGTTTCACTCAACGTCTCTTTTTCGTTCCAAGGGATCTTTTTTTCTTTTCCCCTTTCTTGCTATCTCTCTTCTCTCTACGAGTTGGTCTTCTTCCCCTTTCTTTCATTTCATCTGTCAATGTTACCTGCAAAGGAACAACCTTTGTATCATCATGATTTGGCCAATGTGCACCGCTCAACTTGTCATTTGCCAAACAGGAACTCATTCGAGTCATTCTTCTGTGAACGCTTCTTACTTTCGTCTCATTTTCCCTTCTCTTTTCTCTTTGATTTGTCAATATCGCTCTGTGCTTTTTAAACAATCGTCGCTTTCGAGGCCTTATTCTCTGTTTTTGCTTGTACCTTTCAGTTGCTTTGACTCAGTCTGATTTTCATTGATTCAATTGCTGTTACGTTTCTTTTGTGGTTCTTCCTCTCGTGTTCCATTACTGATTTCTCTGTGCTTCTACTTCTCTTGTGGCTACTACACTACACCCGCTTCAGCAGACGAGAGTTTTGTCATTATAGATATTTCTCTTCCTCTATTTCATCTGTTTCTTTGAGTTTTTTTCGAATCTAAATTTGCTTTATCATCATGGCTGCTCGTCGTCTTAGTACTAATGCTCGCATTGACCTTCAGCCCATCCGCCAGGGCATCCTTTTACCCTTCAATGATCGCCCCAAGGAAATGAAGGCCCTTGTTGATTGTAACGAACAGTTCTTTCGCTCTATTCAGGATACTGTAGGCGAAAAAAAATACCAGAAACTCTCCCATCTTTGGTTGGAAGCTTCACGTTCGGATGTTTCCGACGCTGATTTCCTTATTACGACTCAAAGGCTTCTGCTTTGTCTCCCAGAAGAGGTTGACCTAAAGGCTGACCCCAATACCACTAACGACTGCCCTCCACCCACCAGTTCTGTTCGCGTCGACCCTTCCCGCTATCATCTATGGAGACAATTTTGTAATGTTCTCGGTTACGACATGCCCACCCCCACTCCAAAAGGCGATAATAAAGGTCAAGACACCATCCTTGAATCTCCTACTTCGGAGGAGAACGAGGCTGTCATGTCCAGTGACTCTGCTAATGAGTAACCCTTTTCGTTTCCTGTTTTCACTTTTATATTACTATAATACTTGCTTCTTAGTTATGTCATCACCCTTTGTTCTCGTATGTGTCCTTGATAATAAATAATGGTTGAATTCACTTTCTTCAGTTTTTTATTTTATTTTACTTTTTTCGGAAAAAATGAATGGACACTTAAACACATGTCCGTTTTCTTCCTCTTCTCTCAATTTCTTTCTGTTACTCATCATCAAAGTTTACTCTTTCTCCGTATACTTTGAATACACCTTCCCTGTTGTTCTTTCTTTTAGTCTGGCTGCTAAGATTTTTGCTTTATGAAATCAATTATTTTTCTTGCTTCTTGCATTTGTTACTAGCTCTTTTATCATGCGCCAGATTCCCTAACCTTCCAGCGCTATATTGAGTATGCTGCAACTTGTTTCATGATGGTTATGTCAATTCTATATTTAATTTTTGGTTTCTTTTATTTCTTATATTATTTCTCTTAATTCTTTTAAATTAATTCTTTATTATAACTTTTATCTCGTTTTTGTATCATCAAGTCCTTTGTAGGAGATCCGTTCGTAGTTTTTAACATCATACAACAGTTCTGAACGTTTCAATACTTCTATATTCATTTTTACAAAAACTTACAACTTATCTTACTAGTCATAATAATTTCCGTTAATAAAGGTTTTAGATTACAATGGAGAAGTTGAAATCAATTCTTTATCAACACAATTAAAATGTACAGCTTTATCACCATAAGAAGCTCATGAGATTTGGACATCTTTTCGTGAAATCAAAAAATCATGGCTAATCTTAACGTTCATCGAACTGAAGGAATTTACGACACCGCAGCTCAACACCTCCCTGATGTATGCTTAATTTTGTAAACGGCAAACTAATCATCTATTTTAAGCATTCTTTTCATGAGCATGATGAACAGCGTGAATGATGTGCTCCACCACCTTGGGTTCGGCAAGAGTACTCACATCACCAATTTGATCAGTCTCACCAGCAAGGATCTTACGAAGAATACGACGCATTATTTTTCCACTTCTGGTCTTGGGAAGATCACTGAAAATGAGCTTACGAGGAGCAGCGAATGGCCCAATGGTAGAACGAACGCTCATAATTAATTGCTTTTCGAGATCAGCGTTGGCGACAACGTTGGGCTTAAGCAGAATAAAGGCATTGACAGCCTGTCCAGTAAGTTCGTCCGGGATACCAACAACAGCAGATTCGGCAACAGAATCATGAGAAAGTAAAGCAGCCTCAATTTCAGCGGTACTCAGACGGTGACCAGAAATATTTACAACGTCATCAACACGACCACGAATCCAGATGTAACCATCTTTGTCACGGTAAGCACCATCTCCGGTGAAGTAGACACCAGGATAAGGCTTCAAATAAGTATCGATGAATCGATCATGTCCCTTCCATACAGTGCGAGCGGCGCTAGGCCAGCTATTACGCACAGCAAGAACACCTTCAACTCCATTGCCTTCAATTATTTGACCGCTGATAGGGTCAATAATTACAGCGTCAATACCAAAGAATGGGAGTGTAGCAGAGCCAGGCTTCATGGGAGTAACAGGACCCATAGAAGATACAATATGAGATCCAGTCTCAGTTTGCCAGTAAGTGTCAGCCACAGCACAACGGCCTTGGCCAACCACGTTATAATACCACATGAATGATTCAGGAGCGATTGGTTCACCTACACTACCCAACACACGAAGGGATGAACGGTCGTACTTTACATAGTCATCACCAGCGCGTTGAAGGAGACGAATGGCAGTAGGAGCAATGTACCACTGAGTTAACTTATGACGTTCAACAATGCTCCAATAGCGAGAATAGTCGGGATATGCAGGAGTACCTTCAAAGATAAGGGTGGCAGAACCTATCATGAGAGGGCCGTAGACAATGTAGGTGTGACCAGTAATCCAACCAACGTCACCAGCACAGCCCATACGATCAGTAGGATGGAGATCGAAAATGTATTTACAAGTGGCAGCAGCACCAAGCAAGTATCCACCAGTCGTATGAACAACACCCTTGGGCTTACCAGTGCTACCAGAAGTGTAGAGAAGGAATAAGGGGTGCTCAGGGTTGACGACGGCGGGAGGATAATATTTGGGAAATTTAGGAACTATATCGTGCCACCAAATGTCACGACCTTCTTCCATAGCCGTGGAGGCCTCGGGAGAACGTTGGAAAACAAGGACGTTGGTTAAAGAGGGGCAATTGGGAAACGCTCTGTTAATGACAGACTTAAGAGGGATACGCTTACCACCACGATGACTCTCGTCACAGGTAATGATGAGTTTACAGGTGGAATCATTGATACGATCAGTCACAGATTCGGCTGAAAAACCAGCAAAGATGATAGAGTGAATAGCACCTAAACGAATAACGGCTAACATGGCAATAACAGTTTCCGGAATCATAGGCATATAAATGGCAACACGATCACCTTTAGTAACGCCAAGGGCAGCCAATGCACCAGCAAATTGGGATACATCAGCCAAAAGTTGACGATAAGTGATGTAACGGCCTTCATTAAGTTCATCAGCTTCATATATCAAAGCAATGTCATTAGGGCGTTCTATGGCATGACGGTCGACAAGATTATAGCAGGGTGAAATTAAACCGTCAGTAAACCAAGCAGCATCAGCGTTTTCAATGGAGCCTTGCTTGACAGTTTCAAAAGGCTTTTGCCAGTGTATCATTTCACGAGCCATGTTTCCCCAGAAGGTAGTAGGATCACGTATTGATTGTTCATACATGCTTTTATATTCCTCCATGCTGGATAAGTTAGGCTTGGGAACAGAGGCATCCTTGTGAAGGCGAGCAGGTGGTTCTAAAACAACAGAGTAATCGGCAGCGTGTTGAGTCATCTTGTTAAAAAAAATATGTATACGCAGAAACTTAGCGAAGGATCTGTCGATAGTTTCTCAGAAAACCGAAAATGGTCGGTCAAAGAAAATGAACGAATGAAGAGGAATTGAACGAAAAACGCAAAGGCTTTCGACAAATAATGAATAAACGATTTGAAACCAAAAAAATAAGAAAGAAGGAATCAAATCAGGGGGCCTTGACCAAAAAGGAAAGGAAAGACTACAAATGTATCGGTTAGTCAAATAAAAACTACGTAAAGCATAACACCCTCAAATTGCTAGTCCTCTTTACAGAAACCAGTTACCAGCGAAGGCAATAGAACAAAAGACCTGCCCTTTGTTTTTCATCTATTAAAAATGTGCATACCTATACCAACAAATTAGAAAGAAAAATTGGATATCAGAGGATATTGGGGTATGGGACAGGGAAAGAATACGAAAAATGATTCAATCCACAAAATCACACTATAAAATAGACTGCGGATTCAATATTATGTTCGTTGTCTGTAACTTTGTTCTCTCCAAAGAATAAGAAAGAAGGTTGGTCACAAAACGAAAGAAAAGAACTAAATAAATCTCAAAGAGAAAATCTATATCGTCGTAAATTGGTTATATGTACTCTGTGCTTTTTTTGTGAAATTCAATGGATTCGTGAAAATCAGGCAAAGGTTAAAGCTCAAAGTCTGCTACCACGCAAATGATAAAAGGAGTTTGAATGCGAAAACGCAAACGAATAGCGGAACAAGTAGGAACGACGCGCGATTCGGGGAATCTATCAATGAGACTCAAAAAAAAAGAAGCAGGTGGTTTTTATCGTTTAACTTTGAAGAAAATTCAAGTTAAAACGCGTAAAAAGAAGAAAAAAAAGTGCAACGAGTTGTTGGTTTCAAATCCCCAACAAAGTTGTGGTAGTTGGTAAGGTAAAGATGCGTGAGTTCTTTAGCGTATACGGAGAGGGAGGTGGGTATATGCAGTTGAAAACAATTAGCTACAAAGAAGGAAAAAAATAAAAAAATAAAAAAAATAAAGTAACTAAGAAAAAGAATTTCAAGAATCCAAGTTTTCATATTGTTATGGTCGTAAAAGGTCAGTAGTCATGAGGATTCAGGAAAGCGACGATCCTTGAAAGCCTCATAGTGGAAAGAGATAATAGAAGTAGTTTTCTTTTCCAGTTAATGAAAGTTGGTTTAAAAAATAAATGGAGGAGCTAGAGAAACTTGTCCAAGGGAAGAATCTGTACCTTGGACAACAAAGGTAGTAGAAATCATACATATTTACTAAAAAGTCAAAACTTTGAGAGAAAAAAGCATTCTTTTAGATGAAAGAATGTGACATGAGAGTAAGGTCATTGCGCGCATGGACCCTTCCCTTCCGTCTTCATTTGTTGAATGATATTTCTGGAGAACAATTTCGTGAAAACTTGTCATTTCATCAAGATTGCTCGTTGTGGTAGGATCATGTTTGCATGGACCGCTTTGCAAGTTCTAGGGCCAAGGCAGTGATGGCAATTCGGAAGGCCTTATGCAAGGAAGCATCGATGCCAACGATACCTCCTGACATTTGAATAAATCCCTCTACCATGACATTTTGCACCATGCCTTCTGAATGAACGATCAGCCCATCGGCATCTTCCATAGAACCACTTCCTCCTTTGATGGTTCGGGGAGTCAATGTATCAGCCCAAGCGTCTCTACGATAGGTCTGTACTTTTTGTGGATACGTTCTTCTATCTACGGTGAACCCAGCAAGCGGCTTTCCTTGTGCGCACATGTAACCCAGCTCAACAGCGGTCCCTGGGTCCATATCTGGTGCTCTGCGAAAAGGATCTAAGCAAAAAATGCCGGCATCACAGACGTCCATCAACTTTTTGTCCAGAGTAGCAATCATTAAGCTTGTCGCAATCCCTGGTTGCATCTCTTCCACACCTTCTTGGCCATCAAATGGGGCCATCCCGACAACGCCGACTTCGCGACAGATCGCTTTCAGTTCTTCAAAAATGGCATAGGCATTGGGCCGAAACACCAAATCTCCTGCCAAGTAGACTTTTGGTTTCAACATTGTCTGTGCTGTGTTTGCATTCATGTCCTTTTTCTATAAGGATGGGATCATATCAAGCGTGACCGCAGTAAGCCCCTTTTTCCTTGTTTTGCTTTGGGGAGATATTCAGTTTGTTTCGTTTCGATGGAACTTTTTCAGGGGGAACATATTTCTGTCTAATTGATAATAAATCACCCTGTGGTGGCGAATTCCAGCTGTGCTGTACTACACTGTTTTGTATCGTGTTTGATAGCAGCCTTTCTTTACTCTGAGCATGATGTATCTTTCCGCCCAGTCCGTTTCAGTGGAGCCTCTCACAGTTAATATGATAAGATGTTACCCGGCCTGCTAAGGAAAGAGTAAGACCACCAATGTGGAGTTTAGTCATCAGTCCAAAACGGCTCAAAACTTCTTTTATCTTTTTATTTATTTTTTTTTCGTCTCAAAGAGGAACTTTTTCTCCCGAGGGGAAGGATCGTTCTTTGTTGGGATTGTCTCCTGTAACTTGTTTACGGGATCCCCGATACGATCACGGCGGGGTTTGTTTACAAACAGATCCAGATGCATGGAGTCATCCAAATGAGTGGAAAAGGAATATCAAAGACCGTCATCATCGTCATTAAACCGTGGTTGGAACTTCCAACGTTAAGCCTTTTGTTATTTGCAAAAAAATCTTCACCAAATCAGACCAAACCAAATTCGTTCGAACTAGTAAAAACAAGTTTTGATGATGCATCCTTGATGATGCATTCAAAGAGGCAGTGTATGACTCACCCAAGCTTCCTTCAAAGTCAACTTTCAGGAAATTAGTTTTTGTTTGTTTGGCTTTGTGACCCGACGCAGGTCACATAAACAAATGGTTTCGAAACACCTCGTCTCCCATTTCCTCCACTCGGCAGGTCACACCTCGTGTGTCCCTTTCAAACATCAAATCGCTCCATTTCCTTTTCCATCAGTAGTTCTTTTAACATACCGTCATTCCACTACGCAATAAAAGATAACGATAGTGTACCCCACCTATTGTAAGTACCAGGATTGGTCGACACGTCAGTTTTTCGGAGGAAAGCATCCAATAAGGGTTCATGCAATTATTATAAATGGGAAATAGAAAGCGCCTGAAATTCTTCTTCAGCAAACTCCAAAAAACTCAATTTTGCGAAATTTCAACTGAAACATTGGAATTTCCTTCATTTTTCTGCTTCTCATTCATTTTTTTTCTGTTTCATTTGTGTTTTCCATAAACTCTCACAATGCCTTACGCTCCCGGTGACGAAAAGAAAGGTGCTTCCTTGTTTAAGACGCGTTGCGCCCAATGCCATACTATCGAGAAGGGTGGTGCTCACAAGGTTGGTCCCAACTTGCATGGCGTCTTTGGCCGTAAGACTGGTCAAGCTGAGGGCTACGCTTATACCGAAGCCAACCGCGACAAGGGTATTACTTGGGATGAAAACACTTTGTTTGATTACCTCGAAAACCCCAAGAAATACATTCCCGGTACCAAGATGGCATTCGCTGGTTTCAAGAAGCCCGCTGACCGTAACAATGTTGTTACTTACTTGAAGAACGCTACCTCTGATTAAGTTGGATCAGTTATTTCATTGATTGATTGATCCATCTATTAGTTGATTAGTTGATGGATGGATGGATGATTGATTGTATTTATCGCATTCGTTCATTTCTATCATCTCCAATCCTCAATTTCTTTACTTTTCTTATTCAAATGTCAATCTCATCTCCACTCATTCACTTTTTCTTCCGTTTTTCTTATGTTTGTTGTCTGTTTACGAGTTCGGTAGACTGAATATGTAGTCTCGATAATTCGTCTTAACCGTGGAAATTTGAAATCCATTCATTCACATTGGTTTGTTTTACTTTGCCCAACTGGATTTTTGATTCGATATGCACAGGAAAAAGGAAAGTCATTTCCAGAAAAAGATGATTGTTTTTTGTTTTCCCTTTTTTTGATGGAAAACAACCATTTCTGATTTCCCTTCATCCTTTTTTTTTTCTCTCATTCCTTGCCTTCCTTTTTTTCCGTTTTCTCTTCTGTTTTGCCCGCTGCTTACTTGCTTACTTGCTTGCTTTGTATGCTCACTAGGAATGAATAAAAACTTTCTCTTTTTTTTTGATATTTTTCCACCATACATGCTATGCTTTCTATTGTCAGAGGTTTCTTTTTCATCCTGTTTAGCATCATTCTCTTTTGTACGCTTCCAACCGCCTGTTTGACTGCCTCTTGTAGCATGGAAAGCGAAACTCGCTAAAACCTTGTCGAATCTCCTCGACTTTGGCCGCCAAGGTAAATAAAGTCTTTTGTAACCAAAAATATCATACATCCTTTTCTTCTTTAAGTCAACAACAATGAAAATGTCCCGAAACGGTAGCAAGCACAAGTAGAATGTATCGTTGATGGTTTCCACTGGATCCAAACGTATTAGCTTCTTTATTAAACACCTTCAAGAGCAGCAAGAAAATTCTTTAACTACTTACCCTTTCCTTGTCTATCTAATGTCACAAAGACCCTACCCTCTACAAGGAACAAACCTGACCTGACCTGACCTGGCTCAACTTGACTTACGAGTTGAATTGTTGGATGCTTTCTCGTTTAAGCAGTTTTAACGTATTGCGTTAAACCAGATACGAAGGGAATGGAGCGTATTTAGTAAGTCCTGGACAACAGGCAAGAAGAGCAAGGGGCAAAAAAAGAGAAAAAACACCACCTTGCTGAATGGAGTGGGAGGAAGTGACGGATTTCGAGCAAATCCAATATCAGAAAGGATATGACGAGGGAACTGCTGTAGGACATCAGCAAGGACACGAGGAGGCGTTTTTATTTGGCTTGGAACACGCGTACCAAAAGTTTCTCTTGATCGGTGAAATTTATGGACGTGTTTGTGTATGGCTCCAAGACGAGTACGTTGAGCAGCCAAAAATTAAAAAGGCAAAGAAACATCTGGAACAGTTAAAAGCACTATTGGACGCTTTGCCCTTTCATAATGAAGTCGAAAGTACAGAAGTAGGTTTCGACACGTATTGGAATCGGATCACTGCTAAAACAAAAGTCGTCTCTAGCCTTCTAGGTACTAGAATATTGCCCCTTGATGCAGAACAAGACAATGATGGCTTCCAATAAATTTAAATCTGTTTTGCTGAAGTTTGTTGCTTTCCAATGTTGTAACTAAGTCACATCCACATCTCAATCTGCTATTGTTACTAAACAATGAGCTTCAAGCATACGTCTCTATTCATCTTATACTGCACCTCACTCATGCATACACGATCCTACATTCCATTCCCTCCAGCTGCTTAATCAGTTAACTAATTATCCATCACCATTCACTGGATCAATTTCTTGAGACTTCTTAGATGTTTAAATCAATTTTGAAATATATATATTATCGAATATTACAATGCTAATCTGTATATAATCGTATATGTGCAACTAATTAATCTTTCATCGATTTCTTGCATCCGTTCATCTGCTTCCCGATACAAGTTGTTTAGTCACTGGTTGTCACCATTTCCTATTGGCCTATTTTTGACTTTTCTAGCTGGTAAATTGCAACTAAAAAAGCTTCGAGTAGGCCTAAAAAAATAATTCATAATGGGTTCAGGTTTTATCGCACACTTTTGTTTCATTTGCAGTTTTAGGTCTTTCTTTTAATAATAGCGAGTCTTAAAACATAGCATAGCAGATTCCCATTTCCTTGAAATAACATAAAACATACTCTATATTAAACTTCTCCATAATGGTTCTTCGCAAGTTCATTCTAGCCTTGGAACTCCATATGCTTGTGTATGACTGCTTTTTATAATGCTAGTTTACACTATTTCTTCTAATACGGCGCAACGAATTTGAACACACTAGTGAAAAGATACAAATTTATCAAATGTAAAAGGCAGTCAATTTGCGGAAAGGTTTCTTTAGTATCTGAGGAGTTTATTATAATGTAGTTATAGTGAGTGACTCCCATTAAGATCATATTATTTAAAAAAAGACATGATAGTGTAACCTTCTGTCATATGTCTATTATATATTCACGTACTTCAACTAATTAAACACTCATTATGTACAAAAGCCCATTAACCAAGATGAAACAAAACAGTTTGTTTTTTTCCATTTTTTCTTTTTGAAGCTGTAGGTCGATTCGCGGAACCCTGGGAAGATGATGCTGCTTGAACTTCAGCAGCCCAAGGATCTACCCCACGAGCTGGCTTTTTACCAATTGGGACTTGAATCCTCTTTGAGGTGGATGGAGGAAGCGAGGGAAAGTCGGCTTCAGAGCTCGTATTTACAGCTGACGATCTTGTTTTCGTGGGTATACCCCAAGTAGGGCGTGGTCCAGCGTTCACACCCTTCGAAGGGACTGATGAAGTGGCCGCAGAGCCGTGTTTATTCCTAGACGCAGGAGCTGACAACGCCGGTCCACTATGTTTAGCAGCTGTTTCAATACGATTCCACACACTCGCAGTTTGAGCAGCTGTTCGATTTGATTTTTTTAAACGCAATAAATTGGCATTATTAGTACCAATATGTGGTTGTTCCTGAGAACTCATAATCTTCCATTCTTGCCATCCCTCAAGAAGCTGTTTGCTTTTTCCCTTATCTTCTAATAAATCTGCAATATGATTAATTACTCCCGAGAGTTGCTCTTGAGGGTTGGATACCAGTTTGGAAATACGATCCACAGCTTCTCGTGCCGACATTACGTTTCCACGGAAAGACGAAACAGCAAACTTAAACTCATTAACCTTGTTCTCGTCAAAGCCTGTTAGCTTCATCATTCGATCAATAACTTGTTGATGTTGTGCCTGTACGTTCGAAGCCATGGGAGAGCCTTTCTTCATTGTCGCGGCAGCACTGACATTTTGGGAAGATGATATACGAGAAATGACAGGAGATGAGGTACGGCTAGTGGAAGCAGCTGTTGTGCGAACAGGACTGGGAGAAGGTCGATTCGCTTGCGATTGAGCCTTTGTAAGTTCATTAAGCGAAGGGAATTCTTCTCTTCTCAAAGCCCTTTGCTTTCCCACAGCAGCGGTTCTGGAAGCTGTTGCAGAAATTGGTCTGGAAGCTGTTGCGGCAGATGGTGCTGGCGAAGATAATGCAAATCCAAAGGCTCTATTTCGAGCTTGTTGCTCATGCATGTATTCTTCTTGTCTTATATGAGCAATCTCTTCACGAGATAGATGCAAGTTCGCCAATGAAGAAGTCGCCTCTTCGGTTAAAGCGTTAGAAGGTTGTTTACGGTTTCGGCGACTTCTCCCCGAACCGCTTCCTGGAGGTTCATACTCAAATTCTGGAATAATTCTGCGTGCTTCCCGTAATTCTCGAGCACTAAGTCGCTGAGGATGCTCTTCTAACTGATGAGCTTTTAAGTCAATTTCACTACCAAAAACGACAAACTTTCTCTCTACACATTCTCTCTCAGAACAAACAAAATGATCTTTTTCAAAATGGCGTTCCAAGGCATCATAATTTCTGTAGTATTGGTGTGTAGGACGACCTGCTAGTTGATCACAAATATAACAGCGTTCATGCCTCTCACGACAATGCTTATAAAGTTCATCATCATCGTAAAAATGTGTATTACAAAACCCGCACTTGGGATGGCCCTTAAATCCGGTAACATCAAGTTCAGTGCCCTGATCGCCTACTTCATAATGCTTAGTCAATCCTTTTTTAGAAAATAAAGTATGCTCGTGGGTAAACACTTTCTTGTGATTAATGCACAAATCACAAAAGTACTTATGATGAGTCACTTTGCAGTGAAGCTTCAAATCAAACCATCCCTTGCAAGTAATGTCGCAAGCTTCCTCCGGACAATTGAATTGAAGCAAAAGATTACATTCATCTTGTACTTTCTGATCGTCATAAACAACTCCATGCTTGTTGTCTTGAAATGGGAAATTATCCATCTCAACGTCCCGGATATCCATATTATGGTCTTGGGTAATTGAAATCACGTCCCATGATACCTTACAGAATGTACATTCTTTAGTTTTATACAAAGCGCGTAAACGTATCGCACAAATATGACACATACCTAACGTTGACCAACGGTTAGTAAAAATGCACATTGACGCAGCTAGTATGCCCTTGTCGTATTACTTACGATGATTACAGGGAAGAATACACGTGTACGAAATTGGTTCTGCACAAATAAAGCAAATTTGCTCTTCTTCTTCATCTCCGTCATCTATGTTTTTGGTTACAGTGGTCGCTTTTTCATCTTCCTCTTCATGATCTGAACCCTCAATTCCAGCAGGCTGAAGCTTAACAGAATTTTTCCCTGTTTCCTTCTGATTTTGCTTTCTCCCTGCCTCCTCTAAAAGGATTGGTTATCATCTATTTGACCTTTGTAAAATTTTATTTTCATACCAGAATTTGCATGTTTCCTTTGGATGTTTTTTACGGGAGACTTTTTTTGATTGCTTTTTTGTTTATTATTGTTAGAAACAGTGTCCGGGGACGGCATTTTGTTTTGTTTATTGTGAATATCAAAATTGGTTCTGGGTAAGAAAATGTACTTTCGTACTTAAACTATATACTACCGAAAGAACAGAGTAGAGACAAGAAGTACAGTAATAAAATAAATTGAAAAGTTGGTAATTTGACTATTTATGGTTTACATTCATTATTCTTTTATTAATCTGTAATTACATGAAATCTTAAAGTCCTTCTGTTCTAAAAATTTCAAGTAGCAAGAGACAAACTTACACGTCAATCGAAAAGAAGTTATGAATTTCAGTTCGGTTACAGTCTCAAAATGTTACACTATACCGGTAAAATACTTAGGGGTTGCTCTCAAAGTCCAAGGGAAAAGTTCCATTCAGCCTGACAATCCTTATTATAAAAAGTTGTCATCTCGCCCCAACTTTTAGTACCAAGAAGAAAGTAGAGAATAATATGAATTTACTGAGCCGTAAATTATGCGTTGTCTCCCCCGAGTCATCTATGTAGGGAATGAGAATATATCTGCGCCGTGTGTATCTCACCTCTGGGTTTCGTTCTCTTGAAGAACAAATCTAAATTATTCGTAAATGTTTAATAGAAGAAGATATACTGCAAATTATGCAAGAATGTCTCCATGTCCTATCCAGTGAGCAATGATGCCGTTGGTTTTAGTAAATTTAGAAATCCTCAAACTTGGCGAACATAACATATCTAATTAATGAAAGATTATCTACGTAAAAATTGTTTTAAAGACATATGGTTGCTGAAAACCCCTTCGAAAAGCGTCTCACATAGTGATCAAATGTTTATACAAACATACAGCATAAAGTCAAATTGCTCCTAACCAAAAACTCTAAAACGTAAATAAATTAAAAATTTGGAATAAACGGTATACTTCTAAAGGCAAAGGATCTCACCAAGTTTTAAGCTAGGTAATCGTCTCCATCGCTTTATTCGATACGAAATAAGTAAGGCGGCAGCGAATTAGGAAAATCAATAGTCAACAACTAGTAAGAACGTATCTCTATGCATTTTACTATGAAAGTACCCAGTTTGCTTTATTAATAGAAACAAATCAAACGTCCTCCAGAATCTGCAACTGCCTATAAAACTAAAATAGATCGACCTGGCAATGAAGAGCAAAGAGAGTATTCACGTATCACTTGAAATTCATAATGAAGAATTTGCTGAAACAGCATTCAATTATTGAAGATTCAAAACGCATACAAGTATGTTGACAAAAAAATAAAGCTTAAATAAGTCAAAGCGTGTTCAAGACTAAAAGGTCTCATATATTCATAGAAATAGCGATTTTATTAAGGCATAAAAAGAAGCATCTCAGAGTATGATACAAAAACAAAAGAAATACGGGTCTTGCGGTTGAAGGCCTTTTGAATTCAAACAATCAAAATATAATGACTTTTGAGTTGCGATTTACCAAAAGTCCTATTTGCCAGAATATCTGACAAAGGAATAAACAGTAAAACTACAAAAGAAGAATGAAATCACCCTTACATCTTTTTACTCGTCCTTTTCTTCTTCCTCCTCAGGGGAAGCTTCAGGCTTGCTTTCTTCCTTGGGCTGTTCAGTGTGTTCAGTCTTTTCAGTTTCTTCGGCCTTTTCACCTGCAGCCTCTGCTGGAGAAGGTTGCTTAGGTAGTTTGTCGTCAGGAATCTTGGTCATTAACGAGGTCAAGTACTAAACTCATTAGCAAATACAGAAATGGTAACTAAATCGTTTGTGTCTTACCTTGTTCATAGTGAACATGTGAAGACTGTCTACAGCAAAGACATGCTTCATCTTATCGTCACACAAAATGGTACGCTTGTCATTGGGGTCCTGGAGATTGTTGGCTTTAATGTACTCCCAAAGTTTTTTGACGGTTTGAGGACGAGACATCTGTTAAGTTAGTAAAGATCCTTACAGTCAGGCGGCAGGAAACGCCGTTCGAAGAAACTTATTTATTCCTCCTTCAGCCTCAATAAAAAACAGAGACACCTGCCGATAATAAACCTACTTACCTGTTCAACACCAAGAAACTCGGCAAGTTTGGGGTCCAATTGCATGGGCTTGTTCAAAGGGTTATTGGCAGGATCCACATTGCGCTTCTTCTTCTGACCTTCTTCGCCTTCCTCAGCACCTTTACGTTTTCTAGTCTTCTTGGCTGGCTTACCGCCTTCGGCACCACCTTCCTCGGTGCTCTTGGAGCCACGAGATTTCTTGGCAGGTTTCGTTTCTAGAAAATCCAGTTGTCAGCAACATTTTTTTGAAACAAAGCTTTATTTTAACTTTTTTTTGCTTACCTGCGCCGTCGCCGCCTTGAGGGCTTGCTGTTTCATCAAAACATTGCAAAATTAATGCATTTAAGTCTTTTTTGTTCGAGCTTAAATCAACCTTCTTTTTTTCTTCCAGTAATTGTCGAACTTGTTTAGCTGATACAGTTTGACGATTTACTGTACCAAGAATATCCTTTATATCGTTCCTATATTGGTCCATCCTTCTATTACTATATATTACAGTGTTACTATAACCTTATTATAAGTTGGTCAAGGTATAGTGTAGTAAGTGGTGGTGGTAGTAGTACTTCAAGGCCGCTATCCTAGAGAATACGGATTCTCACGAAAATTGACTTCATATAATATTGATGTCGACATAAGAATATCCTAAGAATAATGGAAAACGCGCCGAAAATATATATAAATAAATTTGTTAGATTTTCAAGATTTCATTGTAAAAACATGTATATATGTTCTTGGGATATATTCTGAGCGCGTTTTTGTTTATTAGATTGTGTCGCGGTCGGTGTAAACAACTTGCCCAAAACCATCTTCTGACCCTAGAATCATGAGCAAGGGAAGAGTGGGAAAATCACAACCAAATGAGCAAAATGAGGCAATAAAATCAAAACAAAAGACTCTTTTTGGGTTTTTCTCGAGAATTCCGACTCCTAAGAAAGAGCCTCAGTCTTCCTCTACCCCTTTGCAAAAGTCTTCCGCGTCGTCAGCTGCTGGCGGTAACAGCGACGCTAAACGTAAGCCATTGCAGAGTCAAGAGAACGAATTACCTGTTCGTGTTCCTGAAGATTCTCTTCATAACACTCTTTCGCCTCATCCATCTAGCGATCCCTTCTCATCTCCATTGTCAAGCGGTATCCAGCGATCCTCGCCTAAGAGACCTTTGGATTCGTATGAGGACGGAAATAGTCCTAAGTATTTGAACGGAAAATTACCTCGAACTTCAGAACATACGGATACTGCTGTCCATTCTTCTCCACATGACAACGACTCTGACGTTTCCTTGGATTCCCCTACCAAAAATAAATCACAAAACTTTGAACTTAATTCTTCATTACAGTCGGACCCACAGTTTCTACCTTCTAAACATCCCTTATTATCTTCGTCCTCAGCACATGAGGATCCAGAAAAAAAAGTCTACTCCGCAGAATAGGGGAAGGCGTTCCAGAAAGGTATGTAGCTTTAATTTAATGCTTCCAGTGTTTTTTTCTAATGTTTTAGTCTGTTTCGTACCAAGAAAGTGATGACGAGGATACAGCATTGGCAGATGCGAGAGTATCGAGAGTCAATCGCCGCAAAAAAATCGTCCTTGATGATGATGATGATTATGATGAATATGTAGAGCCAAAACAGGAAAATGATATCTCTTCTGATGAGTCTATACCAAGTAAAGAAGAAATCCCTGAAGATGATCTTATGGATGAGGACAACGAAGAAGATGTGGATACCGACGTCCAAAACCCACCATTGGTAGCTCCGAAACCGGTGAGTACATCACGTTCCTCGAAATCGATGTATGAAAATTATCGCCTGGGGTCAAACTTAGCCTCTGCGGATCTACCTTCTCCTAGATCGGTTTCCCCCTCCAAGGCAGCGGCAGGCGGCGTTATGAATAGAGATGAGAAACGAAGATTGCGCATGGAAGCTTTCAAGAAAGATAATTTGGAGCGCTATGAATGGCTTTTGGACGTTCGTGATGCTGATAAAAATCGTCCCGGAGATCCCAATTATGATCCTCGAACACTCTATATTCCTCCTTCGGCTTGGTCATCCTTCAAACCATTTGAGAAACAATACTGGGAAATTAAGAAGAATCTTATGGATACTGTGGTTTTTTTTCAAAAGGGAAAGTTTTATGAATTATATGAAAATGATGCTGCAGTTGGTCATCAAATATTTTCTCTAAAATTAACGGACCGTGTTAACATGAAGATGGTTGGCATTCCAGAAGCTAGTTTTGACTATTGGGCTTCTCAGTTCGTTGCCAAAGGCTATCGTATTGCTCGTGTTGATCAGCTCGAGACTGCTTTGGGTAAAGAAATGAAGGATCGACAACGAACACAAAAAGAAGAAAAGGTTGTACAACGGGGTTTAACTCAAGTCCTTACTAGCGGTACTCTAGTCGATGAAGCTATGCTTACGTCCGATCTTTCAACTTTTTGTATGGCAATCAAAGAATATATTCGATCCGATAATGATGAGCCGTCATTTGGCATTTGTTTCATTGATACTTCTACTGGTGGATTCCATCTTTGCGAATTTACGGACGATATTCATAGAACGAAACTTGATACTTTGTTAACACAAACGCGTCCAAGGGAGCTTATCTTAGAAAAGTCTGAAGTATCTCAGAAATCAATGAAAGTCATAAAATACTGTGTTTCTTCAGCAGCGATTTGGAACTTTATTAAACCATCTACTGAATTTTGGGATAAAGATAGAGTTATTCGAGAGATCATTTCTTCCCACTATTTTGAAAATGGATTAGAAGGAGCTCCGAAAGTACTTTCAAGGGTCCTAGAAACGAAAGAACTCGCTTCTAGTGCGTTTGGTGCTTTAGTTTGGTATTTGCGTCAACTTAAACTAGATAAAGATATGTGCTCCATGGGTAATTTCATGGAATATGATACATCCCAACATTCTACTTCTCTTCTTATGAATGGTCAAACCTTGAAAAATCTGGAAGTTTTTTCTAACTCGTTTGACGGTGGTGATAAAGGCACGTTGTTCAATCTTTTATGCCGTTGTGTAACACCTTTTGGAAAGCGATTATTCCATACATGGTTATGCCATCCTTTAAGATCGCCTGTTGCTATTAATGCTAGGTTAGATGTGATCGAATTAATTGCAGATAATCCTTCCATTAGAGATACTATATGGGGATTCATGCATAAGCTTCCTGACCTTGAGCGACTCATATCACGAGTCCATGCTGGAAGAAGCAAGCCAAGTGATTTTGTTCGTGTATTGGAGGGATTTCAAAAAATCTCGTTAACGTTTCAGCAACTTCAGACTGAATTCCAGGACATTGCTAAGGGCACTTTATTAGCCCAGTTGATAGACAGCGCTCCTAATATGCAAGACGAACTTCAGTCTTGGACACGTGCTTTTAATTGGCGAAAAGCATCGGAAGAGGGCGTATTCGTTCCAGAACCTGGTTTTGAAGCCGAATATGATCAGTCTCAAAAATACCAAACTGAGTTGATTTCTGACTTACATGAGCTTTTGGGGCAGTATAAAAAGCAGCTGAATTGCTCCTCTCTTACATTCAAACATGTCGGTAAAGAAGTGTATCAAATAGAGGTACCTTCTGATGTAAAAGTGCCAGTAAATTGGTGTAAGATGTCGGGTACAAAAAAGGCGAATCGCTATTATAATGATGATTTGAGGAAAAGAATTAGGAAGTTGCTTGAAGCTGAAGAAATCCATTTGTCGATAATGTCGCGAATGCAAGACAAATTTTACACAAGATTCGACAGTAATTATGAAAAATGGCTAGGATTAATCAAATGTACGGCTTGTATAGATTGCTTTTTCAGCCTTTCTCAGGCTGCTGCTGCGTTGGGTGAACCTTATTGTCGTCCAGAGATTATTGAGGGTGATGAAGGTGAGTTAGTATTTGAAGAGTTAAGACATCCTTGCATTAATGCTACAGCTGCTGCTATGTTTGTACCAAATGATGTTATACTGGGAGGTGATTCAGCGAACATGGTAGTTTTGACTGGTCCTAATATGGCTGGCAAATCCACCCTACTTCGTCAAGTATGCATAGCGGTTATCATGGCTCAGCTTGGTTGTTGGGTACCTGCGAAATTTGCAAAATTGACTCCCATGGATAGTATTCATACACGCTTAGGTGCTAATGACGATATAATGTCCGCTAGAAGTACCTTTATGGTGGAGTTGTCAGAAACCAAGAAAATTATCGATGAAACAGGACCAAAGAGTCTGGTTATTTTAGATGAACTTGGACGTGGTACTAGTACCCATGATGGACATGCAATAGCATATGCTGTTTTGCATCATTTAGTATCAAACCTCGGTTGTCTTGGATTTTTCTCGACACATTATCAAAGTCTTTGTATAGACTTTATTAAATATCAACAAGTACGACTGATGCAGATGGCTGCAGCTGTCGATGAGGAGCATCGACGTGTTACGTTCCTCTATAAGCTAGAGGATGGTATTTGTCCTAAGTCTTATGGTATGAATGTTGCCAATATGGCTGGATTGCCGGAGTCGGTAATCGATGCAGCAGAACAAAAGGCTGAAGATATGGAAGCAACGACAAAAAGCTTCCATAAAGCAACAGATGACATCGCTTTGGCTAGTGATTTCTTTCAATTAATGCGTATTAGTGAAGGAAAGGAGCCACCGACGATGGCAAACCTTCCTTTGATGCTCGACTGTATAGCAGGAGGCGATTAAAAAGTAGCATTCTATGATTTTATAAGCTACTGCTATAAATTTACATTTATGAATATATTAGGTGTAGGGAGAAGATTGTATTTATTGGTTTGCTGGCCAAATCAAAAGTTGGATGAAAGTACTTACATTCTTTTTTACCTGGTTTTTAAGATATTTAATGAATAATAGTATTTGTTTTTTTTATATTAATCTTGAAGCTTATACCGTAGGAATTTGTAAAATAGGGGTTACCTTTATTGATGCTTAAAATCTGTTGACCAGAAAGTTTTATTCCACGAAGTGATGTCTCGAAAATAAGTAATAAGTGTTTAGTATCAAACTTGGGGATGATATTCGTTTTACTTTGCTCAAATCGTACACAGAGATTTAATTTATGTTATTATGAACTTATAGTAAATCTTTTTTACGATACTTTCTTGCATCCACATTGCTGTGAAGAAATTATGTCAGTCCAGATTTGCCATACATAGTGCTATACCTAAGAATATGCGAGGTGATAAAGCTATGATTCATTCAAGACAGATTTACCTTTCAATAAATATTGGTTTAATATTATAAATGTATAGAATATATCCTTAAATAGGCTTTCAACTATTCTTACTGGAATTTGTTTACTGGAGTGACAAGCTGTTGCTTTTCATTTCTATGATATTTAGGTAACATTTTCTCGTTAATATGATCATGCGATTGTAGAAGGTAAACTGGGAAAACTTGCAAAATGTCATACAAAATTGTTAGTTTTTTTCTAGATATGAATTAAACATAAATATAGCATGAAGCTTAGCTATGAAGAGATTACGAGAATAGAACGAAATTAAGACCATATTGGAGTTCCAATATCATTTAACGAAACAGAAAGAAAGTAAAGATCAGAGTTTATGCAAACTTCTCTACAATCAAAAGCTTTTAACCCATTTTCTTTTTAGGAAATTTGTACTTTTAATTGATTCAGATATATTTTCTTTAGTATATAACTGTTGTTTCCATTTTTTCATTTCGTAGTACTTTTATATTGTTTACTGTATAATCAAGACCCGCAAATATGCAATAGATGGATGAGTAAACTTACAGTTGATTCAAATATGATTGTTCTTATTAATCATCAACTCATGAGATTCATGAGGAAAATAAAAAACCATTCAGTTACTTTGTTATGCCTTTGGGATATTACCGCACATGAATACGATAAAAAAAACACACTCATTCAACGAAGCATTCTTTAAAGTCTATTAAATTCTTCATCTTTTAAGTATTGAATTAGTAAAGGTTGATAAATAACTTAATCGAAATGACAAATTAATAGAATAAGACCAGCCTTTTCTACGTCGAATATTAGTTTATTAACGAAGCTTAAGAATTATCGGTAACCCCCATAACGACATATACCAATATCTCTATTTAGTTTCGTGACTGTTATTTCTATTCATATCAAAACTTCTACACTGAACGCGTAGTTTTCAACAAACATGGATTCCTCAAAGGTCCCAGTCAAATTGGCTAAAGTTATTAAAGTCCTTGGACGTACCGGATCTCGGTAAGTTGGTTGTGAAATTCTCATCAATAAATGTCTAACGTTTGTATAGTGGTGGTGTCACCCAAGTCCGTGTCGAATTCATGGATGACACTTCTCGTTCCATTATTCGTAACGTTAAGGGTCCTGTTCGCGAAGACGACATCCTTGTCTTGTTAGAATCTGAACGTGAAGCTAGACGCTTACGTTAAAAAATTTGAAAACACACGGGATATTGTTTTGCGGTTCTAGATCGCCAATGTTTATTTGATTTTATTTCAAAGTACATAATCATGGTCGGGATGGTTCTAAGGAGAACGACCAACCACAGCGTACTTTGGATTTTTCACTGTCAAAATATTATCATCCTTTGAATGAACATGTACCTCTGGTAGCAAAACTCTTCCTGCTGTTAGGAAGATGACTGTAAATGTTTCTTGTAGTGTAGCACCCACATCAATTAAAGAGACCTTTTTCCGTATAGGACCTGCAAAGAGAATATAATTTGTATAAGCTGAGACTTCGTACAATAGTTCAAAACAGTGTTTCTCATCTTTTACATTTTTATTACTCGGCACATGGGTTACCGTAAACTCGAGGCCAATTTCAGTAGGGACATTCAAAAATATGCTTGTCGGTAGTTTCCAAACACAGTCGATTTGGGGTACATCCTTTTTATTTTTTACTGTGATAGGTCCTAGCGTATGCAAGCTGTTCATCGGCGTTACGAAACATTGTGTTTCTCTATTTCTGTCCGATACTTGTAGTGTTGACAGAACGTCCTTTATCGTCAAAAAAACTTTCAGATACTCTAACAGACCAGAGAATTTTTCCAAGAAAAGCCCATCATTTTTTATTAAAACCTTTGTTTGTTTAGTTTCAACCATATTATGAAATTCAGGCAATGAAATTTGGCCATTCGACGGAACTTTGGTAAAATCAGCTTTACGACAAATCGACTCAATCCAATTTGTTATAACGTTTACGTTCATCCGGCTTAAGAATCGTCCACATTCATTGTATATATATTCGAAAAGAAGGTCAGTAATTCGTAAACAATCTACAGTGACGGTATGTTGCATCCGCCTCCAACCCTTTGATGGAATCGTTTTGAAACAATCCATTGTATCCAAAATTGGTAACTTATAAGGTATCTCATAACAACTGGTTTCTTGACTATCCAGGTTTGTAGTTTTTATTCTCCATCCGAAAAATAAAATTGGCTCCTTGGGCAAGAGTCGAAGAAAAAGTGTCTGAGAATCTTGTTCATTCTCGTCAAGCTCACAGGAAAGCTCTGCAAAATTGATTTCCTTTATCATTACCGGAAGATATAAGTTAATAACCTCACCATCTTGAGTTTTATAAGTTAGCCTAATCTTAGACTGCAACTTTAGGTTAGAAATAGAAATGAAAACAATAGATTTGCACGTACATCATTACTTTCATCACCATCATTTCTTGACATTTGAACGTGCAAAATAGCCTTCCCTAGACGCTTGATATTTTCCAAATAAGCGACCTCGTCATGTATAGACAACGAGCAATCAGAACATTCATCAAGGAAGTATCGACTTAATTTATTGCTCTCTTTTTTGTTGTTAGTTTCAAAAGAAAAACCGACTTTTTGATTTTCCTCGAAATTTTCCCCAAAGCATATCCGAAAAGTAGTGTGAAGTTGATCATTCACATAACGCTGAGGTAGAGATGCTTGAACTATGGAAAGATGCCGCCCTCTTAAGGATGGTTGACAAACCCTTATTCCTTGTTGGGAGTCGAATGTTGTCTTTTTAAATAACAAGGGTATTCCTTTTGGTTTTATGCTTAATTCACTTACGAAGTAATTTCCGGGAAAAATATCCTAAATTGTTAGTACATAATATATAATTCAACTCATACGTTACAACACAAAACAGCATCTGAATCGTTCTGTATGCTTCTTAAACCAAATTGTAACTTGAAAGGCCGGGAATCAGAAACCAAAGTACAGTTCACAGTTTCTAACATATCCAAATCAAAAATGGAAGAAGTAATTTTAGCATGAAGCTCTAGGGTGCAATCCTCGGATATATTAGCCAGGTTCGATATATCAACACAAAAGTAATCATCTAATATTAGATCATAAGTTTGAGGAATATCGTCAACAATTCGACCAGCTGCTTTAAAGCAATCAGGATTTTTGTATTTTTTGAGCAGGCTGACTAAAAATTCAATAACCTCGTGAGCTTTACTAACCTTTATTAGTACACCGAGATAAAATTGAATCCATTTCTCTTTAAAGACGTCGCTTTTCCAGAAAAGGGGTAGGTTCGAGATTTTTAACATTTCATATGCTTTTTCAAAATCTTGAAGCATATAAAGTGCCACAGCTGCTTCAGATGCAGTATTATTGAAGGATAAGAGGTTTTTCCTCTCTTGAAAGATAATCAAGGCCTCTTCAGAAAGCCTCAAATACTCTAGTAAAAAGGATTGCAATGTAGAAATTTCCTCTATATCTCGAAATTCTTCCTGTATATCACCGACATGTTCCAACTTTTGTAGAGTACCTTCTTCATGCCAAAGTAGTAGTGTGTCTTTAGGAAATAGTTTTTTCAAATAAGCCATCTTAAGAAGGATAGAGCGACTAAATAAAGCTATCCTTGCATTACAAGCGGGTACCTTAACCTCATTATCTTTTGCGTTTTGACTTATGAGACTCTTCAAAAGATTGCAGCAGTCATATTTAAACCGTATCAGCAAAAGGGTATTTTCTTGAATAAATTGATCAAAAACAGGATAATTTAAAAAATGAAATGATTGCTGAAGTAGCGAATACGATTTATCGTAGTCTTTTATCTGTAAAGTCAACTGAATCAGCTTTGAGAATAAGTAGAACCCTATATGGAATAAAGAGAACTTTTCAGATTCCAATAATAGATGGAGGTTTATGTAAGTCGTATCTAAAAGCAAAGCTTTAGCATTTAAATCTGAGGGAGCCGGTGCCACATCTGATCCTTCACCCAAATATTTCAAAACCAAATCCTTTTTTCCATTTGCAATCCTCAAAACTTCATTAAAAGTTTCGAACATCTCACTAAATTGCTCAAGAGATTCATTGTACAAAGACAACTCCAAGTAACTAGCTCCTAGTCGTTCCTTCTGTAAGAAGTAAACTAAAAAATCAGAAAAAATAGACGTGTCTTGTAAGTTTATAAACTTTGCTTGTTCGGAAAGTTGAAGAAACCGATAGTCCAAGGCCTCCAAAACTCCCTTCTGTAAGCAACCTAAAAATGTATTCCAGCATTCCGCATCAGGAGTTCCAAATCGGACATAATCTAGCCTGACACATCGATTTGTGTTAGATGTGTTAAAGTCATTTCTAAGGCGTTCGATCGTGGACTTTACTATGAAATAGGAGCTCGTCCTTGAATGTGTCCTGCCCAGTGAACCAGATGATCGCTTAACGGGTTGGCCTCGCGCTACTAGAGCTATCATCCAGGATTGAGAGTCATTCTGAGAGACTTTTTTAGACCACTCAAGTGCTATAGGACGATGCTGCACTTTGTATGTTTCCGAATCCTAATTGAACGTTAATAAGAATATGACCATTGAAATCGAAACAATACCTCTTCTGGCAAAATCAGCATATTTACAAGCGGAGTGTTTAGCAATGTTGCATCTTTAGAATTATCAAGAGAAGTGTAATGTTCCACCCATGGAACAAATTCAAGCTCCAAGCTCGTGATAAAATGTTTTCTATATTGAAATGATTCAACCCATTGTAGATTTCGTAAAGGAGTTTTACTTTTTACGTCGGTTGCTATTGAAGACCACACGCCAAATGGATCATAGTCTTAAATTTCGGTAAGTAAACGCGTCCTTTCATTGAATCTTGACTTACACTGAATAGAAGGCTTTGTCTTAACCATTAGCCAAGATAAAAAACAGGAAAGCACTCCTTTTTATTTCCTCAATGGCGTTTCTTATTATTTGTTGACAGCCAAAGTGAGCGAGAAAGGTTATACCAGTTGGATGCTACGCTGCATTAAAATCTTTACCGCATTGTTAAAAAAAACATTATAGCAATTTTTGGGGTGAAAGGCATTCATAGTTATATCAAGCGTGGAAGGTAAACATTCCAAACTTGTGCGAAAAAATAAACTGGATTTGCTCACATTTACATTCATGCAGGCTTGTAAGAGATGATAGTATTACGGTTGAATTGAACTCAATAAAATAGAGAAAAATAAATTTGTAGGATACTGTTTGTTTGCGCACTAGACAGTACTGCACGGAGTTACACTAATTTTCAACTACGTTTTTTTGGGTTACTTTCGTTGATTCTACCACCAAGCAGGACAGAAATAAAAAAGAAGGAAACAACCATTGTTGAACTGTAATAAAAGTATCTAAATAATATTGGACTGAATAGGAACCGTGAAAATGTCTTCAGGTCCCGTTCGAACAAATCGAAAGGATAAGTCAACGCGTAAGAACAAGCCTTATGATAGAATTACGGAATCTTCGCCATTGAAGTCACCACAGACACCTTCGAAATCGATTTTACAGCGCGCAAAAGATTGGCTTACGCCTTCTTCTTGGAAAAAGACAATTGCCTTCCTGAGTAAGATACCTTCTGAAGAGTCCGAAGACGAAGATCAAAGCTTAATTACTGATAGCAGCGAAGAAATAAAGTCAGAAGAACCGTCATTTCAAAAGCAGCCTCGTGCTGTCGACTCTCCAAAGACTCCTAGTATCGTCCCTCATGGCAGCTTATTGCCTCCAGCTTCAAGTCAAGAATCACCAAACCAACTTTTGGCTACATTTTTTTCAAACAAGGGAAAACAGCCTTTGAACGAGGTTGAAAGAGAAGGAGTGTTGAGTCTTTTATCTAAAGATAATTCTCCTGCTTCGACAACACATCCTTCTCCCTCCATCCCTTCTCAGCAATTCAGCACTCCCAAATATGTCAATCCTCATCGTGCTGTTTCGAGTGAGTCTCGTATCCAAACCGCAAGCTCCTTTCATGCTAGCCCTAATTCTCCTAGGCAATGGTCTGCCTTCCGTTCAACATTCTCTCCCATTCTCGAGAATTCAAAATCTCCTAATACGTCAGGAAATTCGCTACTATCAGCTCAGAAAACAAGTTACTATGGACCTACAATTTCTACCCCTTTCCGCAAGAAGTTACAACGCAAGCGTCATTCCACTACTCCTGTCGGTACTTCGAAATTAACTTCTTTGATTTCTTCTACTACTCCTGACTTTGCTCCAAAGCGTAGTAAGCACGAGTCTTTTAATGGAAGCTTTACTGCGAATGAGGATTCTTTCAGCACTGTCCCCGCTTCTTCACCTTTTCCTCCTGCACAAAGCACGCCTCAACAGAAAACGCCCAGTCGTACGGCTGCAAACTTAATGAGTATTCTGGAAAGTAAGGAAAAACTAAGTACCAGTCCATCAGCAGAAAACTCCGCAAGTACTGCCAAAACTTCTTACATTAGTCCCTATGCGAGACCTAGCGTTACTACTTCCCGTCGTCGTCATACGCTTTCGAAGGACGAAGTTCGTCCATTGAAGACAATTGAAGAGAAACAGGAAACACCAGCTGTCGAGACTCTTGAAAAATCGTCAAATTTACAGACATACAAACCTGACTTTACTCCTCAATTCTTGAAAGAACCCTCTCTTTCTGAAACAAAAAAAGAAACAGAACCAGCTTCTCAGAAAACCGACACTGGCACTGCAAAAGCCACTCCACTTTTTAAATTCACTGCTCCAGCTACTAGTTCATCTACTAGCTTTTCACCCCAGTCAACAAAGCCTTTTGAAAACGTGAAAGAAGAAAAGCCTACTCCAGCTGCTGACAAAAACGAAGCAATTGATGTTGATATGGAGGAATTGAAAGAAGAACCTAAAGAAGAGAAAACGAACGTTTCTTCTATTCAAAAACCGGAAACCACCTCGGAAAAACAGTCATTTTCGGGGTTTTCTTTTGCAAACCTTTCAAAGCCTAAGCCTTTTACAGCTTCGACAGAAACACCTAAAGCTGTTGAAACTCCAGGATTTTCTTTTGGTTCCTTAACGAATCATTCAGCGTTTACTGATGTTTCTTCACTTGAGCAAAAGAAAGATGGAAAGCCAGGCATTTCCTCAATTCCACCTATTAGCTCCGCTGTTTCAGCGGCTGGCAACGAGGCGGATGTTTCTCAAACCACTAAAGAACCTAAACCATTTTCCTTTGCTTCATCCCCAAAAGTGGATGAGAAGCCGAAAGAGACACCTGTTTTTACCTTTGGCAATGCTGGAGAAAATCAAACCAATAAAGAGCC